GAGAGAGAGAGAGACCCCATTGTGGGTTTATTTATTTTTCTTCTTGCTTGTGGGCCAAGCTAGACTACTCGGATCCGCACGATTTTTTCTTTCTTCTTGTGATTCCCTTCTCATTTTTATTTCTCTCTCTAAAACGTGGTTAATTTTTGCCGGTGTTTGTCGGTAAATTTTATATTGCGTCAGGTGGTATCAGAGCAAAGTTTCCAATTGATAACAAAGAAAATGCCAGAAGCACCTGTATTGGCTTTACCAGACTTTGATCAAATTTTTGAAGTTGATTGTGATGCATCGGGAGTTGGTATTGGTGCTGTATTAAGTCAGGAAGGAAAACCGGTGGCATTCTATAGTGAATAGCTCAATAGGTTTAAGGTTAACTATTCTACTTATGATGTTGAGTTTTATGCCTTTGTACAAGCACTGAGGAATTGGAGACATTATTTGGTGCAGAGAGTTTATTCTTTTCTCGGATCACGAAGCTCTTAAATACATCAATGGTCAGCACAAACTCAATAGAAGGCATGCTAAATGGGTGTCTTACTTGCAGGAGTTTACTTTTACCTTGAAGCATAAAGTAGGTGTTCATAACAAGGTAGTTGATGCTTTGAGCAGGCAAGCCATGCTACTTACCACTCTGAAGATGAATGTAGTGGGATTTGATACCTTCAAGGAGTTGTACCAAGATGATTCTAAATTTGGAGCAACGTTTATTGAAGTTTTAACAGGAAAGCGTGATGATTATTTTGTGCATGATGGTTTTCTCTTCAGAGGCCTGAGACTACGTATACTAGATTGCTCACTACGAGATAAGATTCTCAGGGAGTTGCATAATGAAGGTCACTTTGGTCGGCCTTGGTATCGAAGGATTACATTGATAGATTTGTAGACAGATGCTACATTTGTCAAGTCTCCAAAGGAAATGCGCAGAATACTGGGCTTTATACTCCATTACCAGTGCCCTCTAAACTTGGGAGGATATCATTATGAATTTTGTGTTGGGGTTACCAAGAACACAGAGAGGCATGGATTCGATGTTTGTGGTGGTCGACAGATTCTCTAAAATGGCACACTTTATTGCCGGCAAGAAAACTATGGATGCTTCTAATATTGCAAAAATTTATTTCAAGGAGACTGTTCGATTGCATGGCATTCCAAAGTGAATCACTTCAGACAGAGATACAAAATTCATGAGTCATTTCTGGAGATCTCTATGGAAGTTGATGGGAACTGAGTTATGTTTTAGCAGCGGATATCATCCACAAACTGATGGTCAGACCAGTGTTCGCAAAATCGAACCGGAACGGTTAATCGGACATGGCTGGAAGTGGTTTAACCGGCCTAATCGATAAACCGGCCGATTCAACCACTCTAATCGGACAAGTCCCAAGCGGTCATAAAAGTGTTGAAAAAAATAAAACAGATACAAAAAAATACTAAAATATAAAAAGCATATAAATAATGATTAAAACAAAACACATTCAAATGAAGTTCAAAATTAATGAAAAAAATGGATTTTAACCCATTTTATATTTTCCAAGGGCTATTTTAAAATTATTCTAAAAAAGATGGGAAAATATAAAAGTGAGTATTAATGACCAAAACAATTTTAATCTTTACTATAATGTAAAGAATATTTAAAAATGCATTACAAATCAAATTCCTTATTTTTGAGAATTTAAATACATTTTTTTGAATTTTTTTTTTAAATACCGGTTGATCACCCTAACCACCCAAAACTGAAACCGACCACTGGCCGGTTCCGATCTAACCAGGCGGTTAGATCAGGCGATTTTGCGAACATTGGGTCAGCAGAGGAAGTGAATAAGAGCTTGGGAAATTTATTGCACAGTTTGGGAAGAAACAAGCCGAAGCAGTGGGATTTGGCTTTACCTCAAGCTAAATTTGCTTTCAACACGGCCCATAATTGAACTACTCAGAAGAGGCCATTTGAAGTTGTCTATGGATATAATCTAAGCAGTGTGCTAGATTTGACTCCTATACCTGATGCAGGGAAATTTAGTGACAAGGCGGAAGATTTAGCTGACCAAATCAAAGACAATCATGAGCAGGTTAAGAAGCAGATTGAA